TTTCGCGCTCACACACAAGCGTACCGCGCCAAAGCCCAAGTGTACCGCGCTCAGGCACACCTCTTCCAACCGGGCCAGGGCCGGCCAAGTGAACCGTGCTTGAGCCCGATTCAACGCACTCACACTTCTCAAACGATCCGGGAAACGGGCCTGGGCACGGTACGGATGGCATAGTGTGAGTAGGCCTTGTCAACCACACAGCCTACCTGAGTATTATTGCTGACCATGTCCATTCCATTATAGCCACAATGTATTTTCTGATGGCTACTTCCAGCAGGATAACGCTTCTAAAGGCCTTCTTAATTTTTTATCGAAATATGTCATTTTCTGTATTTTTTATAGCAACAAATATGTTCTTTTCATGTATTAAATTGAAATAACTGAACATAAACACTGGCTGTTGAGTAAAATGCTCATTTTAGAAGAAAATTTCAGATGGCAGTTTTGCATCTGAACTCTTTAAGTGATCAAATCAGATATGCACAATCCCCTCTGTAAAAACATTTGACTGATATGTCAGCAAAATTAAACCTTTTAGACCTGACCTCATCAAATGCTCAGATTTTTGTTCTAGAAATGTTTTCAACAAAGTGCATACTTAATTAAATAATTACCTATTTAAACATACCATTGATTTTTATTGTTTTTTTTAACCCTGTAAATTCAACATATTAACCAGTTTCTTGATTTAAATTGACAGCATGTTTTAATGATAACCAGGCAGTTATGATGCCAGTTAAACCATTAATGTAATCAGTCAACTGGAGATTTATTGTGATTATTAATTTGTCTTTATTTGCATTGAGGGTTCCATGGAGAAGCTCTACATCCATGAAAACATTCTACAAAAGAGGCTTTATAGTACAAAAATAATAAAAGGCTCTTTATATTATTGAAATCAATATAAAATTTGACTATGAAGAAATTTTCACTTAAGGGTTTTTGTGGAAACAAGAAAAAAAAGTGTAAAATTGAGAAAATATTTTTTTTTTGTTCTTATATCCTTTATTTAAAAAGAAATATGCAATTATGACAGGAAGCACAGCATTAAAACCCACAATGATGTATTTATAACTGTTAATCATGTGTTGCATTCTTGATTTCAGAGCATTCTGGGATAGCCTTCATTGCTCTTTGAAAGTTAATTCAAAAATGCTATTTAGGTCTTTGCGTGTTTCTCTGTGATTGTGTTTTCTGGTCCACCCTCATTTCCCTTACTCTCAGACAGCAAGGTCAGCCATGTGTTCTGCAGGGCACAGAGCGATTAACCTGCGCGTGCATGTGTGTATGTGCATGGGCGCATGTTTGTGTGTTCATCCAAGTGGCAGTAAAGAGGCTTAACGCTGCCTGATCACTCGCTTTCTTTCAGGCACCGCGGTGACGCACCGACTGTTCATAACTGTTCACATTCATGCATACTTATAAACACACACTAGCCTTTAATGAACCTTCATGCTCACAAGACCCCTTAAAATTTGTTTGTGTCTCACAATTTGAAGGCTTGTGTTTTAAATGGCCTTAGGCTGCTTTAGTTACAGCAACGCACACATTTTTATCATTGCAGTACACTGAATAAATGTATGCACAGTTTTTATAGGTATTAAAAAAGATCCTTGAACCCTATATTATAAATAATAGTTCTTGAATCTGATTGGCAGTTAGCTGTGCGATATTCTGCAAATAACAGCAACCTTGTTTATTACTCCTCCCACATTCAGCAACAAGCAGAGGACACTCTAAATACATTTGACAAACATTGCAGCTGTTGGACAATACAATGTACTTTTGTGGCTTTTTGTACTTTGCGGCTTTCGAGAAATACTAAAATCTCTGTATAAGGATGGCATTTCATACAGTTCAGCCTTATAATCTTAAAATGTGAGCAAAATCTCCTGTTTTGTCATTACTTTAAATATTATGCTAGAGAATCTCTCAAACAGTAGCTCTAAAGTGACATTGGTGAAGTAGCAACGGTCTGCTGTTCTGAAGTCAACTACAGATGTGAATGAATGGTGGAAGAAAGTAGTTCCTCATACAAAAAAGTTTTTTGAAACTCGTGTTTGATTTTCTTTTTTTATTTACACGATTATCACACTCGTAGCAGTGCGATATGGCTGTATATCATCACTGGTGGGAAACTATTGCCTCATTCACACAGCGACTTTATAGCTGCCCGTCGCTCTGGGTGGCAACCTTCTGCAAACACAGGTCTGTGTAAGTCTACAGCACAGAGAATACAACAGGCCTCTGATAGCTAAGAGAGGATCATGTGAGCTTTACTGGTGCTCCTATTGGCTGTAACTTTTCATTTGCGTAAAGTTTAAGCATTCTTAACTTTGTCGCATCGCCCGACATGCCCACCTGGTCGCCAATGATCGCTGACGCTTGCGTAGATGGAGGTTGCCGGATGTTTCTCACTCTTTTTTGAAAGGAACGATCAATTGTTGCTTTGCCCTTGCAAATTGCTCGTAGTGTGAATTTGGCCCAGTGCCAATATTAACAGGATATTGTGTTGTCTCCCAGTAATAAACTTATATATATATCATGGTTTCCACTACATTCATTCTTCCATGGTGGGTGCCACACCAAAATTCCTCTTGCCACGGCTACATTACAGCTTCCGATTCAAAACATTCAGTTATTGTTTTTTTTTTTTTTTAATAGCGGGTTATAATTGAAACAAAACATATTAAAAGGTAAGTGAATTATAACAGTGCAAACTTTTCTGTAATCAAAGTAGTGCTGTGCGTTATTTGTTTATCGCTTTAAGATGACATGCTCACTGACAGGAGCATGATGCTTTCAGTTAAGATAAACACAGTTTCCATAATTATACTTTATAGATAAAGATCTATGGCTCTGCATACAATGACTTTATCTTGCTGGAGTTTATAGCCCTTTCACTTTGCTTCAGGACACATTAATGCGACTTTATAGGTCTATTGGAGACTTTCCAAAACTCACAAATATTCCTAGCCAATCTATTAAATGTTGGAGACATACTCATTACAAAAATGCACTAAATCACAAATGAGTGTCTATTTGAGAGCGCAAAAGAAAATCTGCACTTAAGCAGCATATATTTGAGTGGGCATGCAAGAAGTTTTGTGCACGAACTGAGGAAATCGGTGCGCAGGCAAAGATATTTGCATGCTTGTATTACATGAATGCAATCTCAACTTGTAATACTGCTGCACTTATGACATTTTTCATTGAAATAATGCCACAGGTAGTTGCTAGATCTGTGTAAAAGGCCTACCGCCATAGCTGGAAAAAAAACCCTAGAGGAAACACTGAATATTATTTATAAAAGGTAAAAATAATAGGAAATAGTTTTATTAGGTATTTAAGTCATTATACGAATTTTACTAAAATAGAAAAGCAGTGGATTTCAGTGGCAGTAGATTTAGGGTCCGTTTATATGTCATTGATGAAGTGCAAAACAGAGACGCTTTCTCTTGCATTTTAAAAAAAATTCTCATATACACAACATTTTTAAAATGATCTGCCCTCACACTTATCCAGAAGTACAGCTAGAATGATGTTTAACATATGCCAGGCCATATTTGGTGCTGTCACTTTTTTAAAAACAGCAGCTGTAGAGAAGTACCTGTATGTCTGGGCATCTCAGCATTGATGTTTATTTGGAATATGCTGTATATGCATTTATGATGTGTTTACACTTTTGGTTCTAATGTGAAATAAATCCACACTTTCCTGTTGAAGCATTAGCAAACACTTGAGCAACAAAACCACTTTAATGTACTCCACTATTGTTTTGTATGCTTGTTTTCGCTTATGGCTTCAATTGAAACATTTCTAAAGCTATCAAAGCTGTCATGAACTCAGCATTTTCAAAGGTAATCATTTTTGGGTGTTTACATGCAAACTGTTAACAAATTTATATGTTTTCAGTTACCAAAATGCTTTTGTCGTGTAAACAAATGGGCAATTTTGTCTATAAAAAAATTGCGTAAATTGCTTTATTTACAAAAACTGTGATATAGAATACATGAATCAAATAATACAGTTCAAAACTGAGAGCTTAAAAACGTGTCTAAACGAGAAACCAAACAAAGCACAGGTAAACACAATTAGACAAAAGTGTTTGGGGCCTATGCACGAAACTAAAGGTAACACAGCATGAGAGCCCACAAACTGAATATAACTTTTTTGGGGGTGTTTACACAGACACAACAACGATGGCATTTTCATAAACTTCCACTTTGAAACCGTTTTCAGTTCATTACCAATTTCAGTTACCAAATCGCTGTTGTCATGTAAACAACTGGGCAGTTTTGTCTAAGAACACTGTGTAAATTACACCTTACTTTCATTAAAAAAACTGATGAGAGTCTACAAACAGAACATAAGTGTGTACCTAGCTTAATGACATTTGACATTTGCAGGAAGCATTTGATTAGACGAAAGTGCGTGCAGTGCAGCAAAAGTCATCAATAGAATTTCCCACAAAAGATTTAGTGCACTATTTCATGTTTTTTTTTTAAACATACATGCATAAATACACATAAAATACAAAACAACAACATAAATGCGCATGGATATGCACGTTCACGTACATGCATACAGCATCCCCAGGAATGCTTCTAATCTTAGAGTCATGTGTACCAGCCACACACACACACACACACATTTTTTTCTGACGCACAACTTTGATTGGTCACACTCTTTGAGTAATTGCAACAATCAAGCCATTCATTCATGATTATTTCCAGCATATTACTCATTCTCAAGGTTACTGAGTCAATCATGTGCTAAAGCAAAGAAAGTAACTGCACTGTGAGTGAGTTTCTTACTTTGGGATTGCAAAGGCAAAGGTTGACAGCATACCAGTAGTTGAAAGTAGAAAAAATGCATCTGTTGGAAAAAAACATGGATTTTTTTTTACACAATTGCTTTGGCATCACTGTGCAACACATGCTTTCTAACGTGTTTTCACAAGTTTGAATTGCTCTTTTATTCTTTTCTCACTCTTACAGGTGGTTGGTTTAAGCGTAACAAGTGGCAGCGACCAGTTGGTGGTGCTACACACTGCCACTCAAGATGACTTTCTAGTGCACCTGCAGAGGGGTCAACTAAATCCAAATCAAGATCGCGTAGGAGAGTTGGTGGGCGCCATTACAGACCACTTTACACGGTAAAATTCAAAGCCACTTTTGTGCATATTTGCAAGTATTTTTGCTACTAAAGCATGTGTCTCTTTTACTGATGCTTACACATTACTGTTGTGGATATAAACATACTGTCACTTTTAGTTATAGGGCCAATGATATTTTTCTGTCATCGTTTACCCTTCCAAGCCCGTAAAACTTTTGTTAAACTTTAAAAAAGATATTAAGTTATTTTTAAACCAGAGAGGCTTCTGTTTCTCCACTGAAAGTCTATTTACCCAAAACTCTTATGCTTTCAAAGGCTTGTAAGGAAACATTTTTTTAAAATCCATGTGAATCAAGTTTCTATATTATATGAGATAAGGTAAGATCGCTTGATATGGTGATCAGATTGAAGGAGCACACTGTCATATTTTTTAAAAATATTTCCTATTATATTTTTCTCATTTTTCTTATTTCTTTAATTTTACTGAAAAATATTTAAATGTAAAAAAAAAAACTGCTACGTTTAATATTATTAGCAAGATTTTTATTTTCAATTGACTACAGAACAAACCACTGTTGTTCAAGGACTTGCTTAATTAACTGAAATTCCCTAATTAATTGAATTAATCTTGTTATGCCTTTAAATTGTACTTTAAGGGCACCTATGATGAAAATCATCTTGTGTAAGCTGTTTGGACAGAACTGTGTGTAGGTATAGTGTGTTCACAGTCATATTAGGGTGATATAAAAACATTACATTTTTTAAATTTCCTGACGTAAAAAAAGGATCCAAATCCCTGCCGTTTTGAGTCCAACTGCAACGTGACGCAGGAGTGTGGTTTCCCCACCCACCGAACTGATTGACAGCCGCGTATTACCATGTTTCTGTAGTAACGCGTAAAATCATATCAATAAGACAGGACATGCACAAAGCAACTGGGATTAAAAGATCTGTTTGGCTCTCTATGTTAATCAAATGTGATCAAGAATGAGTTTTACAAGTTTAAGATTTAGTTTTAAAACAGTGTATGTTTATAGTAATTACAGCAATTTTACTGTCTTTACTTTATCTTCACAGCTGTGTGTCAGTACAATTATAAAATAAGACGCTTCAATCCTTTTGTGAACGTTAAATCAGGTTTATTTTGTACAGTAACATAACCGATATCTATACAGCAGTGGATCTTAATGTGTATCCTGTCACATTTGCTGTGCAAAAACAGTGCAAAGTTAAATGCATGCACTGTGTGTTTGTGAACTTTGTAACTCAAACTCATCACTCTTGTGACTCATCGTTGCAGAATTAACTCCACAACAAATACATCAAATAATCATTGGTAAAGTTAATACTTTAGTAAGTCTCACAAACGTTATGTGAGATCTGCTTCCTTCATGTCTGTCATTGTGCTGTTTTTCTGACACAGCCGAGGCAGAGATTGAGGCACACTGACAGACACGTGAGAACGGTGGACGGGGAGAACTAGCTTTAAAGGCACAGGCAACAAAAACAGCTACACTGTGTTCAGAGCAGGAAATTCAATATTTTGAAACCTATAATCTGATGGGTGTTTTGGGCTGAATCTTTACAGACACATTCTGGAGACACAAATGACTTATCTTAAATCCTGAAAAAGGGTTAAAATAGGTGCCCTTTAGCTGAATACTATATCTTGCAAAATGACTAGTAAAATGCTATGCACTGTCATCATGGTAAAGACAAAAAAATTGTTAATAGAAATGATTTAATAAAACTAAAAATTAAATTTGTTTAAATTTGTTTTAAAAATGTGAAGCTGAAATGTGGCGTGAAGCACAAGAATGAACTTTAGGGTTTCCAGCCATAAAGCAAGCACACCTGAGCTTTCGTGAACAAATCTGAATCCTTAAAACATTGGTAGTAAAAGTTTTAATTAAATCTGTTCATTATAAACATTGATCATGTCGCTTCAGAAGACTTGGATTTAATATTTGGATTTGTGATCATCTTTGAGTGTCGGAGATTGGAATAATTGGCATTGAATTGCCAGTTTTGGAGTTGGCAAAATCTTTATTCATTCATTCATTCATTCATTCATTTCACAACTAACTTTTCACACAGACATTTAAATCTATGTTGAGCATTTTTAAAATTTAAACTAACTATCTTTATTTTTTGCTGGCAATATGGCGCTAAAAGGGTTAAACTTCATAATTTCATTATAGACAAAACAGCGTAAATAATATGTGTGATTTTTTTCTTAAATGGACAGTTCACCCAAAAATTTTAATTCTGCCATCATTTACTTTATTGTGAAAATAAATGTACATATAAATGAAGTTTATAAAGTCTCATTAAGGCAGTGCATATTTGATTTAAAATAATGTAGTAATATTTTAAAATTTCACTTTTAGTTAGTTTTTTATTAACACATATGCTCTCGTGCATTGGTGAACATTACAGATACAAACCATTTTTTACAAATCTCAAGTTTTTGAACTAATATACTCTCTTTAACATTAAAACTTAGTTATTAAGTTAAAATACAACATCATTCCATCATAAGAGTTTGATATATGGTACCTCGTATCACTTTTTTTTTTGTTTTGAAAGCATTCACACACATACATGCTGGCTCATGTTATGAGAAGTTCATTCATGCAATGGCATTTTCAGGATCCTCACAGAACCTTCTACTGGGGAGACAACATTAGTACTCGTGTCAGACAACAGCCTGGTTGTGTGTGTGTGTGTGTGTTTGTGTGTGTTTATGTGTGTTTATGTATAGCAGGTGTGGGCAGTGTGTGTGTGTGTGAGTGTGTGTAATCACTGCTCCTCCATGTCTGCTTTAAAGCCATTGTGCTGCCATCTGCGAGTCAATGTGCAGGTCATGCCCTCTTTAAGACATCATCAAAAGGAGACGTCAGAGGCTCCGGGGAAGTGTGGAGGAAGCCAAATGTGTGCCTGTGTTTGTGTGGGTGTGAGGGGGTGAAGACACATGCACGTGCATTTCATTCACTCGCTGAGTCTATAGCATTGATGTAGCACCATCCCCATTGCTTTAAATATGGATTACTTTTTCATTAAATAAATATTGATGTTTTAAGACAAGACTTTAGATTTCAAAAGTCAAATGTTTTTCAGAAGTTAAGTACCTTTTAAAGAAATTTCTTTAAAATGATGTTTAATGGAACTTTTTAAAAAACGTTTCTGATGAAAGACATTTAAAAAAATTCTGATGAAAGTCTTATTTCTTTTAATTTGGCTGTAAAATATTTAAATGTAAAAAACTGCTTAGTTCAATATTATTAGAAAGATTTTTATTTCAAGTGACTACAGAACAAACCACTGTTGTCCATTGACTTGCCTAATTAAGCAAACTTGGCAAATTTTTTAAATTAATTTTGTTAAGTCTTTACATTGTACTTTAAGCTGGACACTATCTTGCTAAATATCTAGTAAAATATTACATACCGTCATTATGACATCATGTCTTTTCATTTTCATTCACTCGCAGAGTCTATAGCATGGATGTGGCACCATTGTAATTGTTTTAAATACTATGGATTACTTTTCCATAAACGTACTATTGATGTTTTGATGATGTTTTAGGACAAGACTTTAGATTTCAAAAGTCAAATGTTTGTTAGAGATTAGTACATTTTAAGGATATTTCTTTTCCTCACAAAAGCATTTATTTGATTAAATATACAACAGCAATGTACTATTGTGAAATGTAATTTTCTGTGAAAACAGCTTTTTTCATGTTTTACGTTGTAATAAATAATAGCCCCTTTCACACATACAGACCTTTCGGGAAAATTACCGGCAATTTTCCGGAAAGGTGTGTATGTGTGAACAGGATCTTTTTGAAAATACTGGTAAATTTGTTCTGGCTATTTTCAAGAAAGAGAAGTTGTAACAATACCTGTAATTTGCCGGAATGCTGCGCTGTGTGAACGCAGAAGAAACATTGCCGGAAAAAGTGCGTGCACGTCTAGAACGTGCTGACGTGAGACGTCTACTTTAGCCAATCAGAACAGTCAGACGCATTCACGTCCGCGCGGTTTATGAGAATAAAATCCTTTAAATATTTTCCCAGACACATTCAGCTGCTAGAAGTTATTCAGATAACGTTTATATGTTCATCTTAATGCCAACCGTGTAAATAATTATCGATGAGATGCTTATGATAAGCCGTTGTTTGTTTACCTTCAAGTTTTATGTGTGCCCGTGAAACAGCCCGGAGTGCCAGCACACACACATATCATGTACATCTCGACATGCGAAAGTGTTTCTCTATATGTTTTCATCGAAGTTGTTCACAATACTGATCCATCCACAGAGTTTGTAGTCAAATGTTTACAAATACAAGTGCAGCCGTTTAGAGGTAATTTCTGGTTAATGATGTCAGAATTTACTGGTATTTTGGAATGGATGTGTGAATGCTCCTTTCTGGAAAAAATCCGTAACGTTCTTGCCTGTGTGAACAGCGCTTTTTTGAATATACCGGTAAAGTCGTTCCGGAAATTTTCCAGATATTTTCCAGTATCACTGTGTGAAAGGGGCCAATGATTCAATGCTGAATTTACTCTAGTCATGCCATTATTTTTATCGGTACTTATTTTAAATATTTGCCAAATGATGTTTTACAGGGCGAGGAAAGTTTTCACAGTATGTCTGATAATATTTTTTCTTCTGGAGAAAGTCTTTTTTGATTTATTTCGGCTAGAATAAAAGCAGTTTTGAATTTTTTAAAAGCCATTTTAAGAGCAAAATTATTAGCCCCTTTAGGTGATTTTTTTTTCGATAGTCTACAGAACAAACCATTATTATACAATAACTTGCCTAATTACCCTAATCTGCCTAGTTAACCTAATTAACCTAGTTATAACCTAGTTAATAACCTAAACTACTATGTTAAGAAATTTGTTGAAAAAATCTTCTCTCTGTTAAACAGAAACTTCTACTGTATATAATATGTAAAGTTTTTTTTTTTTTTTTTCCTAAGACTTGGATTTAATATTTGGATTTGTGACCATCTGTAAGTGTCAGAGATTTCAA